GTGTGGGGTCCCTCAGCTGGAACAGCTACATCCTCTCCAGGTAAAGCAGAGCGTGAGGGTGGGTGAAGGGCAGTGTCTAGCTGTTGCAGGTTCCTGTCCTAGATCTGGGAGTGGTGTGGGGTAGGGATGGCTTGGGATTCTTACTTGGCCTGTTCTGCTGCAACTGTCGGGGGGCAGACCTCCCTTCCACTTTGAAGAGCTTCTATGGCTGCTTTGCTCACACCAACAGGCCAGCGATGCTGGTAACACTGGTTCAAACCTAGTGTCAGGTACAGCAGTCTTGCAACAGCACAAAAATGGATTTTGGTGAAAATACATGCCTGTCTGACCCTGTGAGCCTTCTCTCCGCAGTGGGGCACGGAGTGGCCACATCCACCACCATGATGTCAGAGTGGCAGAGCATCATGTGGCCACGCTTGCTGGCCACACGCAGGAGGTGTGTGGACTGAAGTGGTCTCTAGATGGCCGCTACCTGGCCAGTGGTGGCAATGACAACCTGGTGAACGTCTGGCCGTGCACCCAGGGGGACAGTGGAGAATTTGCTCCTGTACAGACCTTCACTCAGCACCACGGTGCTGTCAAGGTGAGCACAGGGCTGGTGTGGGTGCCTGTCGGTGTGCAAGGCAGACCTGCAGCGCTACCTGTGCACAGGTTGCCTTGTGTGTGTGTCTTAAGGAACCTTTTCCTCTCAGGCTGTGTCGTGGTGTCCATGGCAGGCAAATATTCTAGCCACTGGAGGTGGGACTAGTGACAGACAGATCCGCATCTGGAATGTGTGCTCCGGCGCCTGCCTCAATGCTATTGATGCCCATTCCCAGGTGAGATGTGAACATCAGCTGGGTGACAAACACCTTCTGGCCAGACACCAGCAGAGAGCTGCTGGCTCCTGAGGCCCAGCGGCACGGGGAGGGGACTGTGCTCATCTCTGGGGGGCGAGCATCGGCACAAGCAGCTTGTCTTACCTGCATTACTACCTCTTCCCAGGTCTGTTCTATCCTGTGGTCAACAAACTACAAGGAGCTTATTTCAGGCCATGGCTTTGCACAGAATCAGTTGGTCATATGGAAGTATCCAACGATGGCCAAGGTCACTGAGCTGCGAGGTAAGCTGGGCCTTTTGCCCTTACTGCTGGAGGCAGGGGTAATCCTTGGATTGAGCAGGGTGGTGGTCTTGCCTGGAGCATCCCTGGTGCAGAATGGTGCCCAGGGGTATGCTGCTAGAGGGAGGCACACACCTGTGGGCTGCTGTGTTCTCCAATTTTTTTTTTCCTGCTGCTGCAGTGTGGTGTGGGAACAGCTGTGCAAGCTGGTGGGGCTTATGGAAGCAAACTTTTGACCCCTGTGGTAGAACCAGAGGGACCCCGGGGCATATGGTGACCAGTCCTGCCCTGACTGCACACCTCCTCCTCCTCAGGTCACACTGCCAGAGTCTTGAACCTGACTATGAGTCCTGATGGTGCAACAGTGGCCTCGGCAGCTGCTGATGAAACACTGCGGCTGTGGCGCTGTTTTGAGATGGACCCCATAAAGAAGAAGGAGAAAGAGAAGGCAAACAGTGCCAAAAGCAGCATCATTCACCAGAGCATCCGCTAAGCACACAGGGCTGTTGTGGGGAGTGGGGAAACTTGACTTGCATACTGTACAGTATTTTAAGTGTTAATAAACTGCTTTAATTTGATTTCTTTTTTTAAGGGAGTCTGATTGGAGAAAAGGCTGTGACTTACAGAAACAAGTCCCTCTTCCCTGAGGTTTGGGATGTGGACAAGTGGTGGAGCTCTTGTTCTTTAGGCAGCCTAAACCTAGTCCTGGGAGAAGGATGCTGTGCATGGGCTGTACTTCTGCATCTGTCCCAGCTGAGGCAGATGGCACCTGCCCCATCTTAATGCTGACCACACATGCAGCAGCTCTACCAGCAAGGGAAGCTGTAGTTTGGATGACCTCTTAACTCCATCCCCAATCAGAGGGTGTCAAAACTGACCCTTCACAGAATTCCAGCCCTGTAGCAGGGTAAGAAGAACTATCCCAGTTTAGCAGTAAACCAGCTCTAAGCCCTAAGGGAGGGCCCCCTGCCCAGCTGCTGCCTGCTTTGGTGCCAGCTGGGGTGGGGAGGAGCAAGGCTTGCCTGGAAGCACAGATATCTGTATTCTGCCTCCTGGCCAGGTGTGCACCTACCACTGCCAGAGCAGTCTGGGGTCTTGTTTTTGGCAGCCTGAGCTGCAGTGGTGCAATGCAATGGGGAAAATAAAAGGCAGGGGAGCCTAGAAACATAAACAGATGGGGCTGTAGTAACCCCAAAGGCCAGAAAGGGGCTGGCAATGGTGTGAAGTCTGATGCAAAATTAAAGGTTAGTTTATATTGCCACAGCCAGCTCAGAAGTCATGCAAGAGGCTCCCAAAGCACCACCAACCCAACATGTGGCCCATGGCCATATGCTCTTCCAGCAGCCCTGATCCCTGATTCCCCCTCCTGCTGAGGGGAAGCCCTGGTGCCAAGCTCCAAGCAGGGAAGCAGGCAGTCAGGCTCAACTGACATTTGGTAAAGTTTAAAAACTCCCCAGCACCTGGAAAAATGCATTTTTTCCAGGCCCAGTTGTGCTGGTGCAAGCTGCAGGGAGCGTATTGGAGCCTTGACCTGAGCAAGAGCCAGCATGGCCACAGCTCCCATGCTGCTCTGCATCCTGGAGCCGTGGTGTCTGAGGTTACAGGGCTGTGCCAGACCCATCCAGCCTGTCCTTCAGCTGCACCAGCACAGCCTGGGGCACCCTGGGCCTCTGGGCAGCTGATTAGCACCTTGGCCTGTGCTCTCATCAGCCTGTGATTAGCTGGGACTGGATTAACAACTGTTTTCACCTTCCTCCGAGTACCGTACCACGCTGTACCTGGTGCCAGGCTCCTGCTCTGCCTCCTCAGCTTGAAGCCAGCTGGAGCCTTCAAAGGTAGGCAGCATGGCACCACCTTCAGCTGTGGGCCAGCCAGTGCACACTCACCACTGCTGCCCTGTGCCTGCTGCCGAGATGGGGGCACAGTCTCAAGGAACAGCTTGCGCAGCTGAGCCCAGCACCTTCACAGCAGGGCTATCCCCATTTGGCCACCTGGGGAGGTGCAGTGGAGGAAGAGGTAGTTCTCCTTCCTCTTCACAGCCAACTCCCAAGGCAGCAGCTGGATCTATTGCAGATGGGGGCCGGAACCCACGTGCAAGGTTTGGCTCTTCCCCAGAGTCACACTGCTGGTGTAGGAGCCCAGCCCCACATCCCAGCAGCTTGATGCTGGGAGTTAGCACAGACTGACTCTGTGATCCCACAGCAGATTAAGGCTTCCAGTGGTTCCTGACCTTGGAAGGAAGGCTTTACATGCCTGAAAGCTGGTGTCGTTCCTGCACTCCCCTGTAATAGCAGCTTATCTTTCGCAGACAGCCTGTCTTGCCTCCCTTCTTAGCACATACCTACACCCAGAAGCTGTGCATTACACACCCCTTGAAAGTCCTCTGAGGGTTACTGGAAGGCAATGGTAGCACAGGGTCTTCCTTTGGCCCCTATACTGGTCCTACTGCCCTGGAGCGAGGATGAGAGGAAGGAGCTGGGCGCTGACCCAGCAGGCCCAGGAAATGCTGCCATATAAGGTGTGAATTCAGTTCAGAGCAGCAGCCCAGCCTGACCATGACAGGGTATAAATTACCAAGTGCTGTGGCCTAGCCCACGGAAAGATCCCAGCTAACAGGAACAATTGGAGGAAGGGAACACAGAGCACACCTCGGGAACAGCCCACTTTAAAATGCCAGGCGTTAAGTAGTTTAAAGTTTGTTACTATTTTGGGCAAAAGCAAAGACAGTCCTGTCCTTACAAAGAGACAGCTGAGGGGGGAGGAGGAGGCTAGACAGGAAAAGCTCCATCTCAGCTGGACTGTCATCTACAGCTCCTGGAGTAGTGGTTTCTGAGCACTGAACTCACCCCTTCTGCAGGGAGCAGAACTGCCCCTCCTGCCAGGCCTTGCCCATGGAGAAGCAGCAACAACAGGGGGAACACTACACGGTCCGTAAGCCAGATCCCCTTGCAGGGCTGCATATGTACAAGGGCACTGAGCCCTGTAAGACAGCGCGATGCCCACATGCAGTGGGCTGTCACACCAGCCCAGCTCCTGTGAGGAGGCCATCCTACATTGCAGAGCATGGCCTTGAATGGCAGGGCCAGCAGAGCTTTCCCCCACAAGGCCTGCTCTAGGGCTTTGGCTGGACATCCACTAAGCTCTCCCACACCCCAGCCAAACCTACAGAAACTTGGCTTCTGGAAGCCTGCTGGTCTAACACATTCCTCCCTGCCACAAGCAGCCCAGCTGGCTACCCACCCCTCTTCCCAGGCTTGAGTCAGCACCTCGGCTGGCCTCTGCACAGGAGGGCCCGGGGCACAAGGCGGTGGGGAAGGCAGCAGTGCGCACAAACAGCAGTGAAGGGGAGCCAGACAGTACCAGGTGGTAGAGAAGGCAGCACCCAGGCAGGAAGAGGCACTGCTGTAACACAAGCAAAGCAGCAGCAACATGAACACCATGTTCTGCACAGGGACATTCACAGACAGCAACAGCTTTGGCTTCAGCAGATGCACAAAGCAGACGGGTGTTTCCCCATCACCGGGATTTCTGGGGTCTCCATTCCCTGCTCTGCTACACCTCAGCTCCCCCAGATTGCTGAAAAGCAGCAGCTCCTTCTGGGCAGCTGGCCCAGGTCCCAGCCCACACCCACACTCCACCCCAGCCATTCTTTCCCAGGGTGGAGCTACTTTCACAAGGGGAGCCCTGACACATTTCCTGCCCTGAGCACTACTCTACCAAAACGCCTGGAAAAAATCTGCCATCTGCTTCATCAGCAGGCTGCTATCACCCTCTCCCCCCAACACATAAACCTGCTCCACCAGCTGAGTCTCCCAGCACTGCCTCCAACCACACAGGGTAAGACCAAGCACCTGGAACAGCTTCTGAGCACAGCAAGCCAGGAAAAACAAGAGGACAGAGCCATTTCTCCTTCTGTTTGTTTATTTGATAGAAGAGCAGCCCAATTTGACAGGGCCTGGCTCCTTCACCTCATCCTCAAGGCCACCATCATGGTTTTGGGTACAGCCAGAGCAGGCGATGGGCACCAGGCCCAGGAAAGCTGCTGCGCTGCGCTGCCCTGCTGTAGGGCAGCACACCTTCACCCAGGCCCAGCCCGACCCACAGAGGCAAGAGGTGCTCACTGTTACACCACAGCAGGGCACGCTACTGTCACCCTCCACTGTGCTCATGCTGGGCCAGAGCAGGGCTTGCTCCCAAGCACGAGAGCCTGGGAGCCAATTCTAGGGGCAATTATTGCTGAAGTCTTGAGTCTGCAGGAATCAGTGGTCCACGGCAAGGCTGAGCCTGGCTTCCCCCACTCTGGAGCAAGCCACCAGCTGCCATACAGGATCAGGTGAGTGTGGCTAAAGCACACACTAAGCACCCAAGCCCAGGCACACAAAGGCACAGCAGCCTGGGCTTGTTTTGTGAGAAGGCATTTCAGGCTGTCACAAGCCCTGCTACATACTAGGCAGAGGGCATGTGTACTGTACTGGGCAGGCCCGGGCCCTCGACCCCAGGGGCACTGCCCCTACATTCTCCACAGCCACTCCTGAGTACAGACACTGGGGCAGGACCCCCCCACCTGGGCACATGGAGACACACAGCACTGTGGCATGGAACAGGGTGGCACAAGGCACGGTGGAGCAGGAGCACTAGCACTTGAGCTGGCAGTGGCAACCAACCAGGGACAAGTCTGCTCATCCACAAAGGCTCTGAGGAGACAGGGAAGAGGAGAGGGCACCAGGACAGGGACCGGTCTCTTCTTTTGGTCCTACTCAGAAGGAAATGGCCCCCGGGCAGAAGGGCCAGATGTAGGCACTTGGGGCAAGTTCCTTTGGAAACACTGGAATGGGGCTGCAGCCCTGTGATGCAGGCAGCTGCCTCTCTGCTCAGCAACACTGAGAAACAGTACAAGCCCTCCAGGAGGGGAAGTCGTCACCCATGGCTGCTCAGAGCAGAGGGGCTGGGCATGCAGACAGAGGACAGCAGGGCTGGGCACAGGGGTACAACAGTCTGTAGGCACTTGACTTGGCTAGTGGCACCCAGGAACAGGGGAACAGGTCCCAGCTGCCTCTGCCCCGGGGCTCTCATTGGCTCTGGGAGGGCCTTGCCTTCTAGTTGGCTTTGACCTTGCCATTGGTGATGGTGCCATTCTCATGGATGCTGCTACCGTTGTGCTGGGCTGCTTGCTGAGCCACCCTTGGCAACCGTTTGCCCTTGGTGTAGGACTGATACCAGAAGTTGGAGAAAAGGATGAAGAAGATAGTCCCATAAATCCAGATGAGATGGATGAAGATGGGGAACTGGTACTGGCAGCTGGGCATGAAGTAATACTGGGAGATGTGGACGGAGACAATCACAAACTGGGCCTGGGAGCAAGGCAGAGCAGGAACAAGTTACTCATGGGAGCAGGGTCAGTGATCCCACTAGACACCTAAGTAAAACCAAACTTCCCCCTCTCAAGTAGGGGTCTTCACTGTGAGGTGCAGTCAGCAGCAGCTGGAAGAGGCAAGCAGAAGTCTCCAGGCAAAATGTGCCTCTCCCTCCTGACATGGCTGCAGCCCAGGGCCAGCAGGCTGAGCAGCACCTACACCCAAACCAGGCTGGTAGGGCTACCAGAGGCCCACAGTGGCCAGAGCTGCTAGAAGCCAAGAGTGAGAGGCTGCAGAAGAGACAGGTACAGCTGCTGGCTGCACCACCCATGGGTACAGGGGCTAACCTGGCCTGGCCCTCACAGCAGAGGCTGAGGCACATGCTCTGCTCCTCAGAAGACTCACCAGCTGGATGGCAGTGATGTGCTTCTTCCACCACAGGTACTTCTGAAAGGCAGGTCCTGCTGCTGACAGCCCATAGTAGAAGTACATGACAACATGCACCATGGAATTGATCATGGCATGGAACGAACCCATTCCCCCTGTTAAGACACATTTTCAATAGCACAAGTCAATCCTCCACAGCAATTAGTGCTACAAGGAACTTCTAGGATCCCAGCAGGGGCAAAATTCCCTTCCCAGCAATCTGGGGATAGTCCCACCCTTCCACCAAACTGTGCATGCAGGCAGTTTCCACCTTACCTGGGCCAAACCTCGCCCCCCACCACCAGCTCCAAGGCAGAACAGAGTGGTGGAAGAGGTGCAGGAATGTGACCTGTTCATTCTTCTTCCTCAAGACAAAGATCACCTGCAATGAGAGACCAACAGCATCAAGGACCTGCAGCCCTGGGAGCAGTTAGAGCAAGCTGGGCCACTAATTCAGTGTTTGATCTCACAGCCACCACACATTAGGTCACCCCACAGCTTCCAGAGCTTTAACACACCACGAGTGACCTCCTTGGCACTGAGGCCAGGCAGAAGTACTGCCAGGTCAGACAGAAAGGGCTGAGGAAAGCAGCTGCCCCAAGTACACTGAGCCCCAACTCCCTGCCCAGCAAGTAGGGACAAGGCCGCCTCATTAACTCACCGTGTCAGTCAGTTCAATGAATTTGGAGAAGACAAAGAGCCAAGCAACACTGACCATCTGCAACAGAACAGGTTAACATTAGAGACCCACCTCAGCCTGAGCATGCCCAGTGACCAAGCGTCTCCATACAGTAACCCTGGGATGAAACCAAGGGTCAGGGTTGTAAGCCCTCTGCCCCAGGAGAGGCAGGTAGCTGTGACCTTGCTGCCCAAACACAAGCATTAAAGGCCACCCCTTCTTACTGGGAGAGGGACAAGAACTCACCCGGAGGGCCTTGGGGTCCTGCGAGAAGTCCACAGGGTCACATCGCCAGGTGTACCCAGTAAGCCACCCTGCCATCAGGAACTGCAGCAAGAACATAGTCAGGGTGAGGCCCAGCACATCACCCACTGCACTACCCAAGCCATGGGCAGAAGGGCAAGAGCAGCCTGTAAAAGTGCTCCCCATCACCCACACAGGCTGCATGGACTGTTTTGCGTGCCACAAAGCCTACTGCCAACAACTCACCTCATAGACTATGTAAAGTGACAGTCCCACCAGAAAGAAGTTGTATAGCACCATGAATTTCTTCAGGTTTAAAGGCTTCCTGTTGGCCATTAGCCGGGGACCCAAGGACAGTACAAAGTAGACATATGCCAGAAGGATGCCCATCACAAGGAACGGGGACTGCATCAGTGGATAATCAGCGATGCGGGGGTCTGCAGAGACAGCCACAGTGCGGGGCAGTTAGCAACCTCACTCCAATCTGCTGCCAAGAATGCTACTCCCAGACTGGTGGCAAAGTCATGGCAATCCTGTTTCCCTAGGATGGGAGTGCAGGTAGGAAAACAGAGGCTGGCAAAACCAGCCAAACTAAGGTACAGCCTGAAGCCACACTGCAGGGCAGCATGGAGACTCTCTGCCCATGGGGGGCACAAATGTCCCAAAAGGGCCTGCACAGGCATTGAGGCAAAGATATCTTAACAGCCAGCCCAAAAATCCCAGAGCTGCATCTGCATCAGGACAGAGGCAGGACACAGGTAGACCCAGACAGCTTCAGGGATGACAAACCACCCTGCTGCACCTGTGGCAGGTAGTAAGGCATGAAGTGCCACCTGCCCTGCAGCTGAGCAGAGCCAAACACTCACCTGCTTTCTTCATGAAGTCCTGATACATGGTCACAATCCCCTCCATAGTGGTGGCAGTATCTCTGCAGAGAGAGGAAAGGCAGATCAGGCAGCTGTTTTCCCAGGAGGATACACTGTAGAGCACAACCCTACACACCAGCAAGTTTCAAGCATAGCTTCAGAGGCACAGCCATGTGTATCTGGCCAGCATTACTCTCAGCTGATCACACACCAGCATCCGCTTTCCAGTTGGGCCACATGCTCCTCACTGAGCCTGGCCCCATATCCCAGCTCTGCTGGGAACCCCACCATCAGCAGTTCTTCCAAGGCAGGATCCTAACATTTCAAGCCAGCTAGGAAAGCTTCCAACCTCAGCAATGTATCTCCAGCTCCTTACCTTAGTTTTGCCCTTACAGTACAGACTCAAGGGCATCAACACAACCTTGCCACCCACATCCACTCACACTGCTCTGCCTGACCCTGGTGCAAAGTCTCCAAGGGAGATGCAGAGCTGGCCTACACTCCCCACAGACCAGTGCCTTCACTGTCAGCTTTGGGCTCCTGCCCACTCATCCCCACCAGGGAAGCAACACAGCATCCCTGGCAGACCCACTGCATGAGGAAGGAAAGCCATTGCTTCAGAAACAAACACCAGTTTCTGGTCTTGGAGTTCCTGGTTCCAAATACTTGCACAAAACCTTCCTGACAAGAACTACCACCCCATAACCCAGCACCAGGCTAGGTGCAGCCTACTTGGCAATGACATTTCCACTCCTCTTCCAGACAGGGGACAGTATTCCCAGGTAGTAGAAAGCCACACGAGAAGACTATAAGGCTGTGAGGAGAAGGACTGGCACTCTCCCCACACTTGCTCAGCCTCACTCTAAGCACACACCAGACCGCAGTCCAGACAGACACTCCCCAGACAAGCAGGAAGAACCCATGCTCTTGCTGCTGCAGGACAGTTTGGAACACCCTCACCCAGCTCCCCATCCACTCCCAGCCCAGAGGACACCAGAGCAGCAGGAAGGAGGCAAAGCACAGGTCCTGACTCACCCACCTGTGAGGGAGGCATTCCCAACAGCTGATACCAGCCACTCCACCTACCCCCCTTCCTCCAGAAAGGTGCACAGAACACTGCCCACACACAGGCCTGGGGAGACAGGTCCCCAGCCCTGTTAAACCTCCCCAGGAGGTTTATTGCTGCCACCACCAGGCAGCGCACTGCCTCTCCCAGGCAGCAGCCAGGAGGCTGAAGCCAGAGTAACCTCATTCCCAGTAAGGTCCCAGCTGAAGTATCCAGCAGCCACTGCCACCTCAGCCCCCACCAGAATCACTCCAAGAGTAAGAGCTCAAAGTGATCTCTGCTGTAGCTGGTACCCAGGCAGGAAGGCGGCAGACACCACCTGTGCAGTGCTACCACACACCGACGTGACAGGCTTTGCCGGCAGCTCACAGCAGCCTGGCACACACCACTGGCTCACTGTTACCTGCAAGTCACTTCAGGCAGCCTGCCCAGTCATACCCTGTGTGCTCCTCCAAGCTGGGCAACCCTTGCAACAGCAGTGGGGTGGAACAGGTCTCCCCCTTCACCCCCACCCCTCAAGCAATCCTCCAGAGCAGCCTGCACAGCCAAGAACTTTTGCTATACTTCAGAAAGCACAGAAGGTGGTTCCTCATGCAGCTGCATCAAAGGTGGCAGCAAGAGGGTGAAGCCCACCTGGGACTTAACCCCACACCGCCGGGGCACCAGCAGCAGAAGAGATGTTCACCTTCCCAACCCAAGGTTAAGAGGTTCAATAGCAAGTAATACTCACTTGTGTCACTGTGATACAAGTAGTAATTAAGGTCCTGGGCACTGCCAAGATTATCCACTCTCCATGTGCAGAGGCCAGAAAAGCGTAGCAGGAACTATAGCATCCTTGAGAGCCACTCAAGGCTCCAGCTGCGGGAAACACAGCAAGTCCAAGTCCCGAAAGCTGCTGAGCTTCATGTTGCTTTAATGGCAAAGAGCAAGCTCCAAACTTGTCTGTCTAGTTTCAACTTTCAACCACTACATCCAGCTACACCTTTATTTGCTAGATTGAGGAGCCCTCAAGAGTTAGTTCCCAGCACAGGTACCTAGCCAAGCTCTGTGTTTATCTTATCGAGCTGAATGAGTCAGCCTTACTACAGGTCCAGGGCAGAGACAACCCCTGCAGAGCACTCGCCTATTTCGGCAGGCTGGGATAAGATAGCATCAGTCACCTAAAACCTCAGAGCTACATCTCACACTGCAGAGTAACACTGCAGCTCAGGCACCATGGATTACTTTGCTGACCTTGATGCCAGCAAGGACCCCAGCTCAACACAATTCAGGTTCCCAGGACACAAGGGACTTGGGTGAGAAGACTCAGTTAGAGGTAGAACTGCAGTTCTACCCTGACAGAGCTGCTGAAGGCTGCACAGAGCTGACAGCAGACAAAGGTCATCCTGGCAGCAGCCCTGACCCCAGACAACTGTGCCCCAAGGAGCAGAAGGCCACTTCAACCCAGCACTAGCACAGAAGTTGCTGTTCACACTGGTGGGGACAAGTCCCTCTTGCTGCTGTGTCTTGTGAAGCACTCCCAGCAGTCCTACAGCCATACATGCCACAGGGAGAGGGGAGGCATTGGACTTGTCCTCAACATGGGCTCTGGGCAAGCACCAGGACTTCTACCAGAGCAGAACTATCAGGGTTATGCTACAGGCCCTTATGAAAAGGGACCTGTGCATCTCCCATGGCTTCCCTAGGCAGAACAACATCCTGCTGCGTTCAGCTAACAGAGCAACCACATCTCCAGGGAACCCCGGAAGTATCTGGGTCTTTGAGACCTGGTATCCACACTGGAATGCTACTGTCCCGAATTAGACAGAGGCTGAAGCACACCTTGCTCAGGGGTAGCCTAGGGGTGTTGGCAGTTGAGCTGCCAAGGGAAATTGTAGAGGAGGCCCAAGCATTACCCTCACTAAGCAGGTAGATGCAAAGTGCACTGGCCTGCCCAAGCCACGATGGCTCCATGCCAACCTTTCTGCTGCAGGCAGGGGTTTTCCAGCACAGAGCAGCAAGTGTCTGGGAACCTGAACTCACCCCTGCCATTTCCAGGGATGGAACAACACCAGCACCTGAGGTCCCTCTCTGCACTTCAAGAGGGGTTCACCAACCAGCCAGGCATCTGCTTTTACTGCCCTTCATGTTACACTGCACATCGCACAACAGGCATTTACAGCTCAGCGGTTGGTATCTGTCCTCTCTGCAGAGGGGAGACACTTAGTCTCCTTTGAGTCTTCCCAAGCCCTAGGTCTCTTGGGCAAGGAACTGGGAGGAGATGGGAAACCCAAAGCTGAGCCTTTAACAACTGAAGTCAGGTCAAGCAAGCAGGTCCAAGCATCCCAAAGCACCAGGAACCCTCAGGGCCCAAACACACCCTGCACAATACCTAAACTTGCAACGCATCTCCTCCCACCTCTCAACAGGCTGTCACTTCCCCATCTCAGCAAGAAAGTTCCCCACTATTTGCAAGCCAGAGTACCAGGCCACATTCTGCCCCAGTAACCCACATCAAGCATTAGATACTTGCTTGCACCAAGCAATGTGTAGACTGTGTAATTCCAGCAAGCTATACAGCTAATTAGTGCAACTTCAGCAAGAACAGCAAGGCCCTTTATAATCAGCCCCAGAGCAGTTAGAACACAGCATTGTGATCCACAACACTGACACAGACCACAGCTCAACCCAGTTAGTTTTGTTAACAGCCTCACAGGGCACATCTCTCCCCACACAACAGCCATCCAACACCCAACATTCCTACTCCATCAGCACTCGAGTCAGAAATCGGTCTGTAATAAGTGAGAAAGCAAGCCACCCTAATCTCCCCACTAGTGTAATTACACGCAGCACCAAAACAGTCTGGTAGGTGGCCACAGAGCTGCCACCCCAGGGAGAGCTGGCACAGGGCCCTTGACGAACTGGCTAAAGCAGGCCTGGCCCCTGTGGGGCTCCAAGGGAGTAGCAACCCTCAAAGGTCAGGAGATAACCAGCTGGCCAGAGATCAAGCCAACCCACATCCCTGACCTACAAGCTGGCAGCAAGCCTTGCTGCCTGATGCAGCTCCAACCTCCACTGTCTCCCAGGAAGAGGCATCTTCCTCCCCCAGCTCCCAACAGCAGCACCTGCCCAACTTCCTGGAGCTCCAGAAAGTCATTGCAGGGTCCAGCAAGGCCTGCATGCAGCTCTGCATCCAGGGAGCATGTTTCCCAGCAGAGCTGTGGGGGCCTGTGAATCAGAAGGATCTGTCAGCAGCAGCAGTCTCTGTGGAGGAGTGGGACTGATCAACCTGGGGTCTGGTAGCCCCAGACCAGGCACAGACAGGGCTGCACACAGCACGCACTGAGGCTGGCACTTCAGACCATCACCAAGAGCTATCAGCCACAACTCCATGAGCAGCTTTCCTGAGCTTATACTCAAGCGAATCCAGTAAGACAAGGATCACCTGCCCTGAACAACACAAACAGCAAGGCAGTCGGAGCATAAGGGGGAGAAGCATCCTGGCTATCTGTGAGCAGCCACATCCAGTTCTTTATGAACTCTGCAGCAAGATTGCTCTAAGACTGAATTTTACCATGAAATACAAAAAACTGGATTTGGATCTCCTTCTGTTGCTCTGTGCTCAGGTGAGAGGGAGAGGGGCCTGTAACCTGCTAGTGCACACTCACAGTATCTTGGGACACCAGCTCAAGCACATGCAGCAGAGCACAATTCAACAGGAGAGCTGTATTCAAGTACACCTGCAGTACTGGTAACAACTTCAGCCATCTCACTGAAGACCCTGCTAAGGCACTGTTATCCATATGATATTAAGTCATGGTTTTCCTTCAAGAGGGAAAAAAAAAAAATCACAGCCTAAAGAGGTACCTGTGCACCAGCTTACAGGGCACACAAAACCAGCCCGGCAGCAGCAAAGGCTGCTATGGTTCAAGTGTGGAAAGCCAGACCAGCAGACTAGAATAGGGTTTTCCTGGCCCTATTGTGATTATCCTGGCCCTATTCCTTGGATCTTTGCT